ATTCTACCAGGGCATCTTTGACTATGACAGTGGTGTGACATCATCATTCCAGCATAAATCAGCTGACAAATGTCAAGGCAAAAAAAGTGTCTCCGAGTCCAGAAACAGAAGGAAACATCTAGATTAGCCTGCACTTGCAGCCTTATTTAGACATAAATATATGCAGATATATGTATAGACAATTATGTATCAAATGAATGTATATGAACCTATATGTGTAAATATTTATGTGAACTTCCCACAAATTAAATAAATTTACTATTTTACTCAAACTTCATTTCGTTTTTATTTCTTCTTAATATCTTCATGAGTGGTTTACTAAGCATTCACATTGAGTCTATACAGTTTTATAAAATACATTTATCTATATATATAGATATGGAAATATTATATTGACCAGAATATGCACAATAATGATTGGTAACAAACCACTTAAAACTCACTGCTTTATAACACTGAGTATTTATTTTCATGTTCATGGACGTTCATGTTAACAGGCACTGGCTGATGCAGGTGCGGCTCATCTGGGGGCCTCTGCAGCAGGCACTGAGCTCTTCTCCAGCCTGTGGATTGCATTTGATCTGAGTCCAAGTCTGAAGGACAGTGACAACTCAGGGCATGACATTCTCACAAGGAGTAACACGAGTTAAGAGAATCCTCAAAGCAGCTGCACAATATGGCCAATATTTGATCATGCTGTTTTTTATCCTTTGCAATCTTAAAAATATTTTGAAATATAGTTTTTCATTAATTAGGAAGTAAATATGGGTGTCCTTTTTTTAACACGAGGCTCACTAAAAAGTAGATTTTCATTCAGTGCATCTCAGGTGATTCTGCTGCTTTGCATCTGTAATATGCTCTCTGTGATGCTGATGATGCTGTTGAAATCCAGATGGATTCTTAATAGGAAGGAAAAAATGTTACATCAATGCTTAGTTGTATTTGTTTTTACTTTTTTTGAGAAAGATTTTCATTTGTTTGTCAAAAAATAGTTGTGCATTTATTGCAATGTCCTCTTTTTATATTGTCCCCATGATATAATGATTTTTTCTTGCTGTGATCCTACCTTGCTGAAAATACTTAGAAGCACCTCCACAAGTATTTTGGGGCCATGCCCTAAATGACAATATTCTGAAAGTTAAGAGCATAGTTACTATACTCAGCAGTGTGGCCTTAACTCCCTGTCATCACCATCGATTCTGAAAGCAGATTTCTCAAACTCCTTTTCCCTTTCTTATTTCTGGACTTGCTCAATGAGGGGCCGTCCCTGACATTTGCAAGTCAGAAGAGGAGGATTCAACACTCACCACTCGACATGCAGGCAGACACGTGGGTGGGGGTGAAGACTGGAGAGTCACCTACAGAGGTGCTGCAGGCAGCTGAGAGCATCAGCACCCCCACCCCTGGGCTTCCTAGACAGGTCAGAGAACCACATGGTTATGCAGCTTCTAAATTCGTTTCTGGAAGAAAACCAGAGAATATCCTGTTTCTAGTATTTGCATCTTTGACTACCATGCACATTAGCAATTTTTAAAATCATTTTATTTATTGTTTATTGGAAATTAGTTCATGGAACGTATCTGTGAGTTACAGCATTGAATATCAATGCCTGCGCACAATATGTGATGTTCAAGTCTGGATAATTAGTACGTTCAACATTACACATTT